AGCGCCTTCAGATCGCAATGGCAGCTGGCAGGCTGGGCCTGGTTCCTTCCAGGACTGGGCCCGCAGGGAGGGCGGGGGAGCGTAGCGGTCTGCACAAGAGGAGAGTGGGGGGGGATCTGAGAGCAGCCTGCAGCTCCCTGCAGCGAGGCTCCAAAGAGGCTGTTCTCCGTGGGGGCAGAACAAGGAGCAATGGGCTCAAATTGCAGGGGGGCAGGTCTAGGCTGGAGAGCAGGAAAAACGATTTCCCTAGGCGGGGGGGAAGCGCTGGGCTGGGTTCCCTAGGGAGGGGTGGAGTCTCCATCCCTCGAGGTGTTAAGTCCTGGCTGGGATGATGGAGTCGGGGCTGGTCCTGCTTTGGGCAGGGGGCTGGACTCGGTGCCTCCTGAGGTCTCTGCCCACCCTGGGCTTCTAGGCTTGGAGGTTCCCCCCGGTCATGCCCTGGCCGCGGGCCTGCCTTTCTGACCTGGCTCGCCTCGGTGAACCGCAGCAAGGAAACCAGAGCCACGCCCGGCACCGCTGGGTTTGCCCCGTCCGTCAGAGCCCCCGATTTTCCAGGGTGCTGCCGATCCTGCTCGTGCGAGGCCAGGGGGCTCAGCTCAGCAGAGTGTGAACGTGCCCGGCGCCTGGCCCTCCTGGCACAGACATGCTGGGCAATCGGACCAAAGCCACCTGCTGCCCAATCTAGGTCCGAAGGGGAAGGCCCCCCGGGCCAGTACCGCAGCCTCTTGCCAGGGGCCTGTGGGAAGCAACCCCGCCAGCGCTGGAGTGGGGAGAGATGCTGGGAGGGGCAGCCCCCTGCTTGTGTGTGTGTGACCCTTTCCTGCAAGGCACGGGCCGGGCCCTGTCGCGCTAGGCGCTGTACAAACAAAAGGCCCCCCTCGGCCATTTATCTGAGCGTCCCTCTCGTCAGCCGCTGCAGCATCACGGTGAGCCACAGCAGGGCTGGTGCTACAGCCGGCGCCCTCCTCCCGGCCGCCCTGAACAGTACGAAGACGCGAGGTCGCCAAACCTCCCCTCCCCCTGCCCCCCTGAGAATCCTGCCTCCCTCCCCTCCCCCCACGGGCACGTTCAGCACAGGGGCACACGGTTAATTTATTTACCTGCATGCTCCTGACAAAGAAAGGCCCCGTCACACCTGGCTGAGCAACTCAATTACCCCTGTAATGCTACAGCAACGCCGCACACAGACTCCATTATGGGGAAACATCTCGCCCGAGGGCCTTTTAAATACCACACGCTTACGCTTACGCGGGGGCCGGGGAAGGAGGCAGCGCCGACCGGTGCTGGGGAGGGGGCAGGGAGTCCGAACCGGGCTCCCCTTCCAGCCTGGGCAGCCGACGTTGGTTCGGACACGGGAGTGGGAGCCGGAACTCCGTGCCTCAGTTTCCCACTGTGGGGGGAACACTGCTGGCCTGCATCAGAGGGGGTGTGGGAGGTTTCATTCATCCCCGGCCGCAAGGCGCTTTGGGGCTCTCGGAAGGGCATGGGAGCCTGGGTACGCCCTCGCGCTTTCTCCGAGGACTGCAAAAGAGGGCTGGCCGGGAAGCACCGTCCGGGTCTGAATCTCTCCCGGATTCAATCCCACAAGCTCTTAGCGCCTGCGGCGCTCCAGGCACCGGGACACCGCCAGCTTTCTTGGAGCTCCCAACCAGCAAGGACCCGGGCTCCCTTCCGGGAGCTGGACCAGGCCCTTCCAGGCCTCATTTCTCCAGGCTGCAGAAAGCTGGGTTGCCGCTATTTCTCGTCACTGCTCGTGCTGTCGCCCTGCGGCTGCTGACGGAAATTCAGCGTTGGCAGCGATGGGGAAGGGGCATGTTCACACTGAGTCAGAGACAAGTCTGTTTACTGAGACGACTCCCACATCCGCCCCATTAAGCTCAGAGGCCACGAAACCTCCTAGTGACGTAACAGTCCCCTACCTTGCTTAGGATGTAGATGATATCGCCGCGCTGGAAGGACAACTCATCCGGGTGGGTGCTGACGCAGTCCCACATGCCTTGGTAATAGTTCGCGTAATCTCGCTCCCCGAGTCCTAGAGAGAGAAGTAAGAACAAGGGTCAATTCCCGGAGGATTCCCCCGTGTCCTGGGGGTTTGGCGTGGCTCGGATCCTATTCAGCGTGGGGCCCTGTGGGAGAACTGGGTAAAGAGTTCAGTTCCTTCCTGGAGGAAATTTTTTCTATCGAAAAGAAAAATCCCTGCGAATGTTTCCAGTTTATCTAAGCGCTGAGGCTACGTCTACACTATGAGTTTTGGCAGCAGAAAATATGCTAATGAGGGACTCATTTGCATGAGTCGCGTGCTCCTTTGCATATTTTTTGCAGATCTCTTTTTTTTCCTGGGGTTTTTGTGCCAAAACAAGCGGTGTGGATGTTTTCTTTTTGTGTAAAACCCCCTTTTTCCACAAGATCAGTAAACCTCCTTTTTGGGGGCATAAGGACGTTGCACTGCAGGCAGGGGCGGACCTGGCCTGGCCCCCTCGGCCACAGGGTTTCTCCCGGGGGCTTCTCCGTGGGCTCTGCAATAGAAAGCGCGCGTCACCACGCCCCCGCCACTTTTAGCGGCGACACGGTGACCTTTGCAAGCCCGTTCGTACATCCCTTGTTGCCAACCCTCTAGGAATTAAAGGTGAATCATTAATTACAGATCCCACGGCCCGGAATGCGGCCACCCACAACAGGCCACCCTTCCGACTTCCACCCATGCCACGGCCACGGCCCTCTGCCACCTCCCTCCCACCCCACGCCAGCGGATGTGGCGGGGCACAGCCAGCGCCTGCCACCCGAGCGCCAAGAGCATCCCTGCTAGGAGCTCTTATTCTGGGGGAGATGCGCCTCCTCCCCGGGCAGAGCTACGCTTCCAGCTAGGGGAGCTGGTCAGACGTGGAGCCCCACGGTCTGGCTACGCGGCAGTGGGAGCCCAGGGAGAGTGGACTCGGGGTTTGTTAACTGAGGGGCTGGAGCGTCTACACACGTCTGGAAGCCCGAGTCCAGTCCTCCCAAATCCCAGACTTCCTAGCGCCCTCCCACCCTGTGGCTGCTCCAGGCCTGCGGGTGTGGCGCAGTCCAGCCAAACTTCCCCATCCGGAGGACAAAAGGTCAGTTTGTGGGATACTTCTCTGGCAGTCGCCCAGAGCCTGAGTCTACTGGGTCGGTGTCTGTACTGCAGAGCAATAGGGTTTGAACCCTGGGTCCTGGCCTGACTCCGGCTCGGATCATCCACCCCCCTGTGGTGAGGGGACTCTGGGTTAACACTGAGTGTGCGTCGAGAGAAAGGGGGTTAGGCATGAGACTGAGTTCAAACTCTGGGTGTATGCCAGTGGGTTACCCCTTCCTCGCTTCTGACAGATGTTAGGGACACCATTCTTGCCCAACCTGGCTACAAGCCATTGATGGACCTAACCTCTGTAAATTTATCTAGTTCTTTTTTGAACCCTGTTAAAATCCTGGTCTTCACAACATCCTCTGGCAAGGAGTTCCACAGGTTGACTGTGCGCTGAATGAAGAAATATTTCCTTTTGTTTGTTTGAAACCCACTGCCTATTCATTTCATTAGGTGACAGACCCCTGGTTCCAGCGTTAGTAGGCATAAATTCCACTTCCTTATTTACTTTCTTTAGACCCGTAATGATTTCATAGACCTCTATATTAGTTGTCTCTTTTCCAAACTGAAAAGTCCCAATCTTACGACTCTCTCCTCATGACATATATAACACAGAGCTACTTTCATCTGAGGCTGCATCGTGCCTCCCACTTTACACCCAAGCAGAGAGAAGTTGAGCCAGCGAGAAGGGGAGGAAGTGACTTGCCCAAGGTTATTCTGCAAATCAGTAGCAGAGACAACTGAGCCACTTCACTTCCCAAGCGCCACCCCCTCTCCCTATAATGGAGGGTGAGGGAGGAGAGAATTCCAAAGGGGCGGATTCTGTGGCCCAAAGAATTAATACATAAACGAGTAAAACCCTCCAGTAAAGCAAACTCCCCGGGAACTCATTTGAGCACCGAATTGAAATCACTGGTGCGACAGGGTGGTGAATCAAGCCCGTGAAGCATAAATAGAAAATACCGAGCACATGTTGCAGGAAATGTTCCTAATACGGTCTCAGGGACTGATGGGTAAGGACACATCTGGAGAGCTGTGCTCGGATCTGATCACTTAAATATGAGGAAGGACATTACAGAGATGGGTAATGGTACAGCAGGGAACAAACAGAATGACTCCGAGACTTGGGGAACTTAAGTAGAAAGGCTGGAAGAAAGTAGGTCTGTCTCCTATGGAACAATATTAAAGGGGGACCACAGCAGCAGGGCAAAGATTGCGAAGGGAATAGAAAGAGGAGGAGCTATCCGCTGGGTTATTTAAGCTTGTCTAAAACATGGGACCCAGCGGTTATGAAGCAAAGCAAAGGAAGCAGCAGCAGCCAAAATCCCTTCACAAACTTAACAGCTGATGGCAGACAGCAGGGGGCAGCAAAAAATGGACCGAATGCAAAACGGTTTTTTACAGGGAATCAAAAGGAGGACAATCCGAGAATCCCAGGGTGCAGAGAGACCTCAGGACCAGCCCCAACTCAACCAACCCAGCCAGGGCTTTGTCCAGCCGGGACTTAAACACCTCGAGGGATGGAGATTCCACCCCCACCCTAGGGAACCCAGCCCAGCGCTTCCCCACCCGCCTAGAGAAATAACTTTTCCTAATATCCAACCTAGACCTCCCCCACTGCAACTTGAGCCCATTGCTCCTTGTTCTGCCATCTGCCACCACTGAGAACAGCCTCTCTCCAGCCTCTTTGGAACCCCCCTTCAGGGAGTTGCAGGCTGCTATCAAATCCCCCCTCACTCTTCTCTTCTGCAGACTAAACAAGCCCAAAGAAAAACCCACTCCAGATCTGTTGGTTTTCTCCAGTGAAACACAAAGTCACTCCACTGTGGAGAAAAAGACGACACCAACCGTAGACGACCAAGGCAGGAGGATGGAGTTTTTTGAGAGGTGGAAATCGCTCCAGTTATTAACTAACATATGAGTGATCCTACAGATCAGTGTAAGGAAAATCCCCGAGAAATAGGTTTAAATACAGCGACGGTCAAAGGCAGCTCACTCCGCTTTGGACAATAACCGGTTCCTTATTTTCCCAATATGCTGGGGGTGAGGAAGGAGATATGGGACGGAAATCTACAATGTTTCACACAGTAAGAAGTCGGGGGGTCTGTCAACACGCCCTTCCAGCGCATGATTGCAGCAGACGCAGGCTTGCTGGCCGCATTTTGATCAAGCCAGTGTGCTCAAAAGAGCCGGGTAAAATCGGTGCCACCGGCAAGGGCTAGCTGTCTGAACGCCATCCCTCTTGGGATGGTGGGGACGTACGTGGACAGCTATCCTGCCCCATCACAGATACTCGGCAACTTCAGCAAGCTCGTTTGATCAACGCTCTGCCCTTGCTGCAAATAACACTTGCCGGCCACAGCCCAGGCATCCCCTGCAAATCGGGGGCTATCGACTGTTTCTTTCCAGGGGGCGCTGTTCCTGAAAGGCCAGGCTGGATCTCATGGCTGAGAAGCTCCGTGGTTTCTTTGCCTTGGTTTCACTACTGGGTTGAGGAGGGTTGGGAGATACCGACCCCAGATCTGCCCTTCGCTGGTAATAAGGAGATCACCTTGGAAGTCGCGCGGCAGGAGTGGAAGCAAATGGATCAGTTAAAAAGCAATAAGTCGCTGGGCCCGTAGGGGAGAGCCAAGAGTCCCAAAAAACTCCAGTACGACATGGACTTAAATGAGCTTAAACTGCAGCAAGGGAGGTTGAGGTTGGACATTAGGAAAAACCACCTATCAGGGTGGTTAAACACTGGGATAAGTTGCCTGGGGGGTTGTGGAATCTCCATCTCTGGAGATACTGAAGAGCAGGTTGGACAGACACCTGCCAGGGATGATCTAGACAGTGCTTGGTCCTGCCGTGAGGGCAGGGGGCAGGACTTGATGGGCTCTCGAGGTCCCTTCCTGTCCTAGTGTTCTAGGATTCCATGGAGCCCTGCAGAAAGGGACCTAGAGGTCACAGGGGACCACAATCTAAACAGGAGTCAACAGTGTGACACTGTTGCAAAAAAAGCCAACATTATTCCGGGCTGCATTAGTAGGAGCGTTGGGAGCAAGACGTGCAGGTCAGGAATTTGTGACCGCTTTGCCATTTTGTTGCGTCACCGCCTTCTCCCAAAGGGCCGCTCTGTCAGTCCCAAGCAGAGCTTGCTCTCGGAGAGGCAGCTGTACAGGGCCAACTACCTTGTGCTTTGTTATTTGCTGAAAAAATAAAGTGTTGAGGCACAGAACCTAAACTAAGAGCCAAATTTCAAAGGGAAGGCCCCACTGCTGTTAACTTGCCCCTGTGGGTCATGCTTGGAGAGGGGACTGGTTATGCTGTTAAATCTGAGCATTAATGTATGGCCCAGCCTCCACATTGAATTTTACATCAGTTTAATTAACAAAAAATCTGTTTATAATTTAGTTTTCTGATAGGGAGGTTGCCTAGGGAGGTTGTGGAATCTCCGTCCCTGGAGATATTTAAGAGCAGGATGGATGGACACCTCTCAGGGAGGGTCTGGACGGTGCTGGGTCCTGCCGTGAGGGCAGGGGGCTGGACTGGATGCCTTTCGAGGTCCTTCCAGGGGCAGGGTCCCTGATTTTGTGCCCTGGCCGAGCTGCTGAGAGAATTGCAGGGCAGAAGACACGGCGCAGGGAGCCCTATGACAGGGTCCAGCTCATTCAGGTTGCAGAGGGCTCCCCATGTGGCTCTAGGACCCATTCTACGCTAAAGTGGCCTCCCCCGAAGCCAAGGGTTTCTGCTCTATTATCCAAATCTCGGCAGTATCCGAAAGCTTTTCTGCTCCCCGCAGCCTGAGGCAGAGCGGAGTTTGGATAACAGGGCTCTGGAATGAGGCAATCAGGGCATTGTACTTATTAACCATCTGCTGAGGGGCCAAGCAGAGAGGCAGGGACAGCTGCCGACAGTGCGATGTTATGTGGGTGAATTGGGACTAGAGAGGG